CTCAGTCGACAGAAATACACAGGCCTATAATAACTACTGAAATGTCTGCGGGGCAAATCTCAGATCAGTCTGAGCACTCATGGTACTCACAGTGTGTACAGCCGAACACCTGCAGGCGCCACTGACTCGGACGGTTGTCGTGGTAACCAACACCATAAACAGCAACCGTTCGCGTGTCAGCGCTTAATGCGCATATCCTATATGAAAAGCATTTTAGGGGGCCCTTGGCTTTTGGGGGCCCAAGGCGGTCGCCTACCTTTGCCTAATTGGTAAGTCCGCCCCTGCTGAAATGGTATGTATACATCGTTCATGGAATTTTTGTGCACTGTTTTAGTTGGACGCTCATCTTACTACTTTTGAATGTTCAGAGAAATGTTCCCATGATGTCTGCAAAATGCTAAATGGAATGTTCCTTTAATGTTTTTAAAATTGGATGGCATTCAGAAGTAACGTTTTCATAACTTAATTGGCGAAATGTTCTGAATATATTTTGTTAGCTGGCAGAGTACAATTTGGAATTAGGGCAAGCGGTTTAATTCGGATTTTAAAGCAAAACATTTTGTCAAAGGAAATAAAAAGTAGGTGACAATATCTCTTTTGTTGAATGACCAAATACCAACTAACATAATCTGGAGAGATTTTAATCTTTTCAAATAAACATATTGCCACTTAAACCCCTTGTTTAGTAGGGTCAAACGTGTTTACTGAACTGAAAAGGCCTGCAAAGCTCTGTTAGGGACATTATGCAAGATGCAAGCTCCAGTACTGTTGATCAGCTGTTATATTTACAATCAAGGCTACCAATCAGATTCTGCTTGAATATGGCTAAAGATTATGCTTTTTGTTCTTAATAATTTGTCGTAATTGAGCATTATCCCTTTATGTTAGTGCAAACTAAAAGGAAAAAAAACTAAGTTTGAAACGGTCACCCATATGGTTTTAAATTATGCATTTTTATTAGGGGTGCTCCGATCACGATTTTTGAGGCCGATCACAGAAAGCAGTATCTGCTGATACCGATCACCGATACCGATCTTTCAGCGAAGTACCTCACCTTCAGCATTATAATGATTTCACCCGCGCCGGACAGAGACTGAGACGGTGCCGATGCATGTCGTGCCAAACCTCTCACGACTGCGTCATCAGCTTGAGATCGTTTTTTTGAGATCGGCCTTTTTAGAGACCGCCGATCAAACATCCCAACGTGATTATCGGCCGATAGTGATCGGTAGCCGATCAATCGGAGCACCCCTCATTTTTATGCACCATTTCAAGCCTAAAGAAAGCTTGAGTATGTACTGCTTACAGATCACAGAATAACACATAACTCATTATTATGATGCAGTTCATCTTGTGCTCAGAATCAGGTTACTTGGAGATATTTACGGACTTTAGTGATCAATCCTGTACCTTAAAGGACGTTTTGATGGTCTAAGCTTAGGTCTTTAGAAATCTTTATAATAGCATGTATGCTGTATTCTCAACTTTGACTGTGTATGAAATGTTAGCTGAGGTATTTCTAGATGTTTACACACATAACCCGAAATGCATTTGCTGAACACAGGATCAATGCTAATACAGTATTGATGGAAATCTAAAAATTCCCTCCTGCCTAACGTGAGGTCATTCTCAAGCCTGTGTAACGGGATCTCAGCGATATTTTCTCTTGTTACATGACCAATTTTGTGAATTTTTTTTTCTATGTGTGTGGAGTCTCTCCTGTTATTTCTCGTGGTTTCTCTCTTTTAGAAAAGTTGTTGTACATGACATTTAACAACCTCTAATATCTGTCAAGAACTTTAATATTGATCTACTCAACCAAAATAATCACCACGGTGCTTGACCTTGAGAAAGGTCCCTTTATCTGGAGGGATTGTCTGTGTCAGTTCATCACATGAAAGTTGTAGACGTAAATAGCAGTTGCGCTGGTTATGTGGTGATAAAATGTCTGTGCTATAAAAAAGATTCAAGGTTTTACCTTTTTTCTTTTACTACACTGCTGGCTCAGATGAAAAAAACAAAAACAAGCCAGATGTACACCAGATTAATAGACTATTATTATTATTATTATTCAAGATATTTTGAATATAATAAAAAGCTTATTATTAACTTGTTTATTAATAATAGTATATTTAAGATATATTGACTATAAAAAAACAGGCATTTTATTTTTAATTAACTTGTGAGAAGACAAACTGCATAAAATATTAGGGCTAGTTTTATATCTTGAATATTTGAAGACAGCATTATTATTATTATTTAAGATAAGTTTTATCTCAAGTAGTTTTTTGTTTTTGTTTTAGCTGTGTTTTTTTTCTTGTTCAATGCATAAATCTCCAAAAATAATGTTAGATTTAGCAAAAAAGAAAAAAATTTAATTCATTTCAGGATACGTTCTCTGAAAACAAGTCTCATTTTCTCATGCAATGTTGCTTCACAACTAAGTTTTTCTTATTTTTAAGATGATCAAATATTCTTACTGGAAAGATTAAGGCTTTTTTTAAGGGTAAAAGACTTGGGAACATTTTCTTTGTTCAAAATAATGCGCATAACACATATCTACACATAACTATTACAACAATATACACTCTAAAAAATGCTGGGTTGTTTCAACCCAACTTGGGGTCAAATATGGACTAACCCAACCTTTGGGTTAAATTTTTACATTAAACTTTTAACCCAAAAGTTGGGTTAGTCCATATTTGACCCAAAGTTAGGTTGAAACAACCCAGCATTTTTTAGAGTGTATATTGTTGTAATAATAAATGAAAATGCTGAAACTATCACAGATGATGCCATAATAACGTTCTGACTGTACAATGTCCCCATAGTATGATTTGTGATAGTTGTATGGCCTCTGGTCAAAGGGAGACTCTGCTCATTAGTTATGAAGCTCCACCTGTTTTTGCTGACAAGAGTGTGTGTAAAGCACCAACAGCCCCGCCTCCTTTACTGCTGTTGCCATAACAAACAATGTGGAATGCAGGAAGTGGATTTTTTTCTTCTGACATGTGTGCCAAACTGACAGTTTGTTGACATGGTTCTAAAATAAATTATGATTAATTTTGAAAAAGTGAAGTGCAGTGGATGTTTTAAATGGATGATATTAATGATGATGAAATCCAATGAATTTTACATGTGAAGTGAAGGCTTTACACAAAGCTATGTTCTTGCATGTTTGTGTTGTTTGTTTGGTATCTTTTTATAGTGATACCGGCCTAACCTGCTTTCACAGTCACCCTGAGGAAGAGCATCAGTCACATGAAGCACTGCACATTTAGTCTGCTCATATAACCAATCACTGTTTTCCCTTTTTTTTGTCCACAGAGCAGAGAAGACCGAAGTACTGAGTGACGACCTTCTTATGGTGAATATTTTGTCCTTCCATGACTTGATCATGACTTTATCACAACTATGAATGACTGCACAAATCACCCAAAATTCCACCCAAGTCACCAGTGTTATTTTAGTATTATGTGTATACTATTAAAATTTTTATTAACATTTTAATTAGCTTTTTAAATTAACTTTATTCTTTGTCACTATTGTAATTTTTTTATTTTTTTTATTTCACTATTTAGGTTTAATTTATTTTTAATTTGTTTTAGTATTTTTAGTATTTAGTATTTTTATATTTTAGTTTTAATTCTGTTTTTATTTATTTCCAGTTAGTAATTTTAGTGCTTTAACTTATTGCAAACTTATTGCAGTTAGTTGCCTTGTCAACATTTCTAAATTTCATATTGCTTAGAAATGTCATCTAATACTGTATTTATATTTTATTTCAGCTTCATTGAAATAAAAATTTTTTTTAAAAATAGTTTTAGTTTTAGTTAACAATAATATAATAACCATAGAAGTCACTGAATGATTATTTTTGCTAATTATTAATTTAAGAAATTAATAATAAGAGTATTATGTTTTATTTCATGGCTCTCTTGAATACTTGATTTTGATTTTTCACTGCATTCTGCTTTCAAATATTTTTGCATAATGATTTTAAACTATATAATTAACCATTGTCCCTGCCAAACGATTTCCTAAGACACACAGCCTTTTTTCCCTTTCATATCATCTCAAAACAACATTTATGCATCAATATTTTAATATTTATGTCTGTTTGTTTGTTTATTTATTTATTTGTTAAGTAGTTGTGCAATAAGCAGGATAATGTACAGTAAACTGGTCAAAAATACTATGTTTTGCAGACTAGCTGATTGTAGACGATCCTTTACATATCTTCTGTATGTATTCATATTAATCACAATATTGAACATGTATAAATGAATAAGGCATCGCAAAGCAGATATTGTGCTCTAGTATGACTTTAGCTCTTATTTAGTGTTAATCTTGAGCTTCTCTAATCGTCTCTTTTGCTTTCTCTTACACTATAAGTGTCTCAGTTGACCTTTGGTCCTTTACATTCAGCTTCTTCTTTCTCACAATCTCTCCTCTTTCACACTCCTCCCTGTTCCTTTTTCTGACTACTTGCAGATAACAGGAAAGCAACTGACTGTCTGAATCTAACTGATTTTAATATTTCTAACGCCACACGGCCCATGTTTGCATGAGTATGAGTGCAACTATGGCTGTTATGAACAAAGGAAAGCCTAAAATAGCTCAAAAGCAGCTTTATTGTGGCGTATGTTGATGCTGGTGATTATGCATATAAATCTAAAAAATATGCAATTTACTGCATGACACCCAAAATCTTCCAAAGCAAACACTCACTCTAAAAACAACACAAATCAGCCTAATCTGTCACTACCTCATTGTTTAAAAAGCACCACATGTTGAAACATGCCTGTGCAAAACACTGTACAGCTGAAGGGAAATCATTGAAGCTCGACGGACTCTCGCCAGAGCTTTATATGCTGCTCCTTCACCTTCATTCATGCATTCCTTGTCCAAGGGTCAAAGTTTAACTGCCTGATTGCTCTGCAACTTACGCCGCCTCAGCTTTGCAGGAGAGAAAAGAAACATGATAATGGGCCATACACTCCCTCTTGAAATGAGTCAGAGGGAGATGTTTTCTGGCTTTTGAAGGTCTGCCAGGTTAAAATGCAGCGGTGTTGGCAGATGGCCCCTGTTAGAGCTGTACTGCCGCTGGTTTCTCTGGTCGTGGTTGGAGTTTTTGTGAACCAGCATTGGGGAGTAACGCAGCTAGCTGAACTACATTTTTCAGTTGCTGGTTTCAAAACAGGAAAGCTTTTTTCTACTAATGAGCTGCTTTTTCCAACCAACAAATAGTCACTAAATGCAGTTTTTTTTTGTCACATTGTGTTGCATAGAAATGAAGCAATAATCATGCACTCTCCTAAAATATATTTTCTTATGTTTATAGTATCGGAAAGTCCCATTCATTTTAGTTTGGATGATTCATGTAAATAAACTGGGGAAAAAAAAGAAGATTCACAGATTAATTTAATTACAGATCAGGGTTTTTATAAACCTAAAAAAACAACATTTCGTTACTTGAAATAAATGTTAACTGAAATAAGTTAAATGTTAAAACTAATAAATAACAATTAATACAAACTATATAGACATATAAAAAATTAAAAAAAACTAATTAAAATGACATAAACACAACAAAATGACATGTTTCTTTTTAACGTATTAGGAAAACTTAAATACAAGGATATATATATATATATATATATATATATATAATTTCTCTAATTTGTCTAATAGACACTATTAAACTATTATGGTAATCAATTATACTAAAATAACACTGTTACAGATCCCTGGTCTTGTTTCAGAGAAAATACTGCTGTTGCAATTTATTTAACTGGGAGTGTAGTCTAGTTTTATTGGTTGTATTTATTGTATAAATATATCTGATCAAAGTTTCCAACCATGAGATCATCTATATCTGAGGAAATATATCATCTCTGTTATGTCAAATGTAACTGTCATATCATATATAACTATGTGATATATTGTCCCCTCAAATAGCATCTAGTGTGGTCGTTTGTAGGTTGCTGTTGCTGGCTACGCTTTTATAAGAATAACTTGAGTGCGGTTTATATTATGAGCAGTTTGACAAACTACAGTTTTAAAGTCAATAAGATCTTCACAGTCAGTATTGTGTAAATGGCTCCAGTGGGAGTTTCGACCCCTGCAGGGTGAGTGCTGCCACAGGCCGGTATGGCCCCGTCATCATTTCCTGTTTGTCTCGAATTGTTGCTTTGCTTGGAAGCAGAACATCTGTAATGCAGCTCTTTTCTTCGTCATTTTTCCCTTTTCCTCATTCCATTAACAAACCTGGATCTGAAACCTGATTGCTGGTTTATGGAAAATGAATGTGAAGGTTACATTTTTAAATGCAATATTTATCAGAAACCCTTTTTTAGGATTTGTGTGTGCATGTGAGTATATGTGTGTGTGTTTCTGATATATATATATATATATATATATATATATTTATATATATACATACACACATATATATTTAAACAAATATATAATTTTGAAATATATGTATTTTATATATTATATATATATATTACAAATATACTGTATGTGTTTTAAATGTGACAGTGTTCAGTCATGGGAACACAAATGGTACCGTTTCCTGAGAATGAAGCAGGCGT